AGGAAGAAGTTCTTCAGTAGGAGGGCGGCAAGAGTTTGGAATGAATTGCCCAGAGATGTTGTGGCTGCCCCATCCCTGGAGGTGTTCAAGGCCAAGTTGGACGGAGCCTTGAGTAGCCTGATCTAGCTGAGAGGTGTCCCTGCCCGTGACAGGGAGGTTAGATTAGATGATCTCTAAGGTCCCTTCCAGCCTAGGCCATTCTGTGATTCTATGATTCTCTTGCTAAAATGTTTTCCTTGTGCTATCAGTTTCACCTTGGGGTCTTTAAAGGTTTCCCCTTGATTTGTCCGGTACAAAAAAGGTCCATCCAATTTTGCGTATGTTGCACAATCAAAAGAGTCAGGCTCTACACCCGGAAGAATTTAAGTTAAAATAGTTGTCAACTTGTTGTAGCTTTATATTATAAATCTAATCAGCCAGATCTATGACGGACAGCTAGCTAGCTTTGGCTTCTGTCTGCCCCCTTAACAGCTGTGAGATTTTTCCTATGAGACTAAACACTGCAGGAAAAAACAGGGTATTTTCATGTGGCTTAGCAAGGCTGTCAACCTGATCGTTTCTTTCCAAAACCATGGTTCTCCTGAAATATGGGTGAAACATGACTTGGTTTTAATAGCAAAATACAATCGTGTAATCCAGTTTTGGCTTGGAGAAAGAGCAAATATAATGCTACGGAGTGCAAATTAAGTATTGCTTGACAGTACTGTGTTGATGCTATTTAATTTGCAGGGTGTGCGTAGATTGTAGTCAGGAGTCTTTCATCTCCTCTTAATGGTGCATAAAAACTGCAGAGTAAGGGAAGACTCCTTTCTCTGCATTCTCATTTGCTATTTGTCTTGATCTTGAATTGCTGTTTGTTAAAAGCTTAAAGTAGTGGAAAATGGAAGAGGATTTTAAAAGGCATGGGGGTTGAGGAAGGACTAGCTGCCTCGTGTCTGCAGTGGAGATAGGTAAAGCTGCAGGGTCTGGAAGAACGACTGCTCCAAGCAGCATTCTTCTATAGTGTGTAGATATATAAATAACATAGAAATAATATATGTATTACTCTGCTTATCCAACAGACGACTTTTCCCTTTTTTATTCTGTGTTGGTTTCAAGGTGTTAGGTTCAGTGAGGACAACTGGCAAAATCATTATTTGAAATTTGTTTGTTTTTTATTTTACACCAATATCCAGAAAGCAGATGAATGCATTTACAAAAGAAGTGGCCTGTTAGAGGAACATCACAGACTGATTTTCTCAGCTAAGTTTTCCATGTGGAATGTTTATTACACAGAATAGTATTAATAGAAGTTCAATATTTCTTGGCTGAAGGAACACATAGAAAACTAAAAGGAAGTTAAAAATTAAAATGTCAGTTCTTCAAGGGAAAAGAACAGTTTAATCTGAAGCTGAAACTTTTCTAGAAATTAGAGCAAAGCTGTTTGTAAATATGCAGTATAAAGTATCCAGGTTCTACGGAGCCTATTCCTTAATCTATGGGACTTGCATTGCTTATTTTGGGGAATGAAGAGTAGTGCCAGTCTAATACGTCTACTCTTTTAGTGACTTGCATTTTTTCCATCTGTACATATTGACAAAAAATAAGCCCAACCCATAAGCAAATGCTGCTCTTACATTTCAATTGCCTCAAGATATGGCAGTCCTTGAACTCTGTTTAGGGCAGACTCATCAGCCTAGTTTACTATTTTAAACACAATCTACCTGGGATATCACAGATGGCAGGTTTTTTCTGTTTCTCCATGTTATTCCATGAATAAATCTTGCCTTTTTAAGGGTCTGATTTTCTTTACAGCTTTATAAAACTAGGTGCCTAATTTCATTAATGTTGCAGGTGAAGGTAAGGCATTGAATAGTCTAAAAATATGACCTTTATTCTGTGTCCTTAGTTATATTCATCTTGAAACCAACTAAAGATACAAGAAATACTAGGGCCAGAGGCTTATAGAAACTTCTGGAATAATGGCAAATTTGCAATGTATGGATTTTGCCATTATATAGTCAGCTGACAAGATTCCAAAACCCGCTGCCAAGGTAGTGTTGAAGCGTACCCCGTTCTACACTTCTTGCGAACAATTTTTATGACTTGTTTTTAGCTGAGACACGATCTTTGCATACATTGCCTTAGCTTGGCCTTCATGCTGATCTTCGTAGTGTCAAGAAAGCCATGTTCTTCATGTGACAGTTCAGTCCAATTTAAGTGAAAAATATAAGACTGCTTAATATTTGCAATGATAAATTATGCTTTTCACTCTTAACATAGAATCATAGAATCTTTTTGGTTGGAAAAGACCCTTAAGTTTGAGCCCAACCATTAGCCGGGTGATTCATGACTATGATACATGATACTATGAATATGACACAAGTATAACCAACGAAGCAAATTCCTAAAGCCCAAGCTTCTTGTTGACAGCATGCCTGGAAAATACAATGTTTTGCCTTGTTTTTATAATCTTTCCAAAGGCAGTTGTTTCTGGCCGTGAGAACTCCGGCAGTGGGCAAGACTCGTGTGACTTCATCACGTGGTTTCTGTTCACGTACCAGTCTTGTAGCAAAGTACGCCCCTTCAGGTTGTCCATTTAGCCAGGGATTTTTTAGTTTGTATGTTTTTGTTGAGTGCACAGCAGAAGAGGGTCTAAATTGGAACCTTTAGGCCTTACGGCAGGAGCAGCGAAGGTTATCTGTTGCCATTTGACAGTTTTATCAGTCATTTCGTTGCTGCTTGCTTGATGGTAAAAGTAAAAGGCCCTTTTTAGAATAGCTGCCAGGAGAGCCTGGGACATTAGGCAAACCTAGATACATTATAACAGAGGAAAAAAAAAAAGAGAGAAACAGTGTTGTAGATGTGGGAAAATGATCTTCCTCTCCTTAAAGTTTTAGAGTAATTGTGTCAAACTGAAAAATGTAGTAAACTCAAAGCTATGGCTTCTTTAAGGCTTTGTGCTATAATGATTCCTTAAAAGAAGAAAACAACAGGTATTTCACTATGAATTGATTTAGGGTTATCTCTAAATTCATACTGTAGACATTTTCTGTTTTTCTGAATATGTGTGTTTTGTGTAATAAGATTTTTTTTAAAAAAAATGATAATGTAGTTGCAAGAACTTTGAATTTACTAAAATACTAGAATACAGAGCTAAAGGATTTCACAAAACATTTACATTACAAACTTTTCCTCATTTAAATGTAGAGAACAAATGCTTTTCTCATGCCTTCTGTTTGCCTTTTCAGAAAGTAACTAAATTTCTCACTGGGAAGAACATCTGAGAGGCCGATTAGGGAGGCATGGTCAGCTTTTTTGGTTGTTTGCTTTTCTAATACAAATGCAGAATAACAAATGTGAACCATAAAGCATATGGTAATACACAGCTCCAAAAGCCTTTGTATGGTCACCGATCCCAGTTTGTAAGCAGAAAAATAAGCTGCTCTTAATACATAGATTTAAAAACAGAAAATAGATTGATGACATTATGGAGTTAGCTTGAAATATCATGGTTTAACTTTTGCAGGAATAAAAAAGCTTGACTATGTTTAGGTCTCACAGCAAGGAGAAGTGGCCTAAGGTTTTTGAAACGTTCTTGCACAGTTTTATTTCTGTGTTCAAAAGCAATTCATGTGAAAGCGTGCCTGCACAGTTGACATGGGGATGAGGAGAGAACAGCTTGGTGATCAAGGGAGTAATATAAATGTTTTTCAACCACACCTGATGCAAGGTGATCCAGATTCCCAATCAATAAAGACTTCTTCACTTGCATGGAACTTGTGCTCACCAGAGGCTTGGATGCAGTGCCAGCTGTCAGTGTTACTGTTCAGAAAATTCATGGTGGAACCCAATCTGATCACTGGCCTGGGGGCAGGGAAGGGCATAATTTTTTTAAATTTTTTTTTATTTTTTGCAAGGATGTGCATCAGTTGCAAAAAAACCTCTTAAGACCTGTTGCCTGAAGTTAGTCTTCAGATTTTTTTTAACAGAGCTAGCGTTTCAAATAGATGGTTAGAAACTTACTAATGACCACAAAGTTGCTTTGAAGGATGACAGCCAGGATCTAATGATGTCAGAGCAAACAAGTTTATCCAAAAGTGATGCTCTTAAAAACCTGTTTTTCAGGCTGCTGTATTTTTTTTTAAACTGTTCTTTGGTTATTGTACTGTAATACAGTTGTTTGTACTTTGAATGAGATTGAGGTTGGTTGCAACAGACTTTCTTTAAACAGGTGTAGTCAAAATAGTTTTATGTGTTCAGGCTTTTTAAAATGATTGGATGTTTTTGGACACCCTTCCACAGGAGGTATTACACCATCTATTAGAAGGCAGCAAGGAGGGAAGGGGAGTTAAAAACGTGATATGAAGGATTTCAAGGTAGAAATATGGAGATATTTATATGCTATTGTTCCATGATAGCTATTGACATGTGTTTTGTATGTGTTCTAAGCTAGTAAAACGTAGTAGTTTCTCAGTTACTAACATAAAATCCTGCCACTCCTCTTACTCTACATGTCTCTTCAAGTTCACCTTGGGAAAAATAAATGATCCTGGGTATCGTACTTGTACGGAATGCATTATTGCCACTCATGATCTAAAATAATTATGCAATATTCTGTCATAGACATGAGATTTGGGTGATCCTGAAAGTCTCTTTCTCTTGTTTTTTTCAGCCCCAAAATATTCTACTAACCAGTAAGTCACCTCTGGGGGACATTAAGATAGTAGATTTTGGCCTTTCCAGAATAATGAAGAGCAGTGAGGAACTAAGAGAAATTATGGGAACTCCAGAATATGTAGGTAAGTTGTTGCTGTAAGTCCAGGCTTTTGAGGAGTCCAAAGAGAAGCTGTGCTTGTGTGGGGAATGCCAGACCGGCTGCGTCCTTACTGTGCTAAAAGATTGGGCCTTTACCTGGGCGTGTGCTGCTGTAAAAGGCAGAACTGGCAAAGCCTTGCCAGTCTCATGAGTGGTGGTTGTGTGCTTGTGTTAAAGATGAGTACGTCCTTTAGATGATTCTTACGAGCAGTGATAAAGAGTATTACTTGAATTAAAAGTTCCAAATTACTTATTCAGTCGCTGAATATATTTTAGCCTGTAGAGGTTTTTATCCATTTTATTATTTTTTTATTAAAATTTTTAAAGAAGAAAACCTGCACCAAATCATTCTAGGCCTTGAAAGTGTACTTGCAAATATCTTTAAGTTGTATGGTATATCTTTATGGGTATGGGTTTCACTGCTGGAATATGCAATATTGGATATTTATGATTGTTTTTTTCCATGAGAAATCTGTATTCAGCTTTCTTAACTGGGAAGGAGAATGGCCTGACTTCTGAAGAGGGCAATACAGGGAAAACTATTTGTGTATTTTTTTACTTAAAACCAACGGATGATAGTAATCACTTAACTTGAATAGAATTTCAAAAGACTGTTATGCTTCAAATGGCTGTCTTAAATTTTACCACATGCTCGTTATTGCACTCTATAACTACAATGTAATGTCTGCATATGATAAAAAAAAGAATTGTTTGTTTTTTCCTGAATAGCTCCTGAAATTCTGAGTTATGACCCAATCAGTACAGCAACTGACATGTGGTAAGTTGAACAAATTAATGGTCATCATTAGTTTGTTTATTGAAAAGTGGTTTTTTTAAAAAACAAACAAGCAAACAAAATCCTTAAACCTCTGCTTTTCTGTCTTTTAATTTAGGAGCATCGGAGTACTGGCATATGTTATGCTCACAGGGATATCACCTTTCTTAGGGGATGATAAACAGGAAACATTCTTAAATATATCTCAGATGAACATAAGTTACTCTGGAGAAGACTTTGACCTCATATCAGAGTCTGCTGTGGATTTCATCAAAACTCTGCTGGTTAAGAAACCTGAGTAAGTAAAATACATGATTGTATGTGCTGATGTGTCGGATTGGATAAATTTTAAATGTAGCAAGTGCTGGCATTTTGATTTTTAAATTATTAAGGGAACTTAAGGGTTCTTATTTCATCATGCTATTACTTTCCATGTATATTGAAAGATAATTCCTCCATTTCCATCTGAACTTGCATATTGTGAATGTATCCAAGTGTTAGTAATTAAAACTCAAATTTATTTGAGAAAACCGTGTATGACTTGTACCATGTGGTACCGTACACTGACTTAGCTTGCAAGTACTTTGCTAATGTCTTTTAAATGAACTATGCTTTTGAGCCTTTCAATTTGATGAGCTGGTACCTCAGGAAAGAGGACTTTATGCTTTTTCTGGTCTGTTAGTGTGCTTTTCTCAGTGGGCAGCAGAAATTCCAGGTCTCCAAAGAGATGCGGTATTTTCTGTGGATGTTCACCATCCTTCCATGGGACCTGTCAACTGTTCAAATTGCCTACTGCTTGTCTATGGGAATACTTCAAGAATGTAAGGATCAGATAACTTTCCTGTATAAGAAAAAATAAAAACTGTATAAAATTGGAAAGTTGCTTGAGAGCATGGGAGCATAAACTGATATTTCAGGATCTATGAACTCCTTTAAATGTTAGCAGTTCATCTCCTTGGGCTGCTGTTGGTCTCGCTATTTTTGGCTGAAAATAGCTATCAGCACTTCTTTTTTCCTAAGTTCTACCAGTCTGCCCTACCCTTGGAATAATTTATATGTAGCTCATCTGCAGGGTACTGGATTTCAAATTCCTTTCCTTCCCCTACAGGGACCGGGCAACTGCTGAAGAGTGTCTTCAACATCCATGGTTAGAACAAAGCGATAATCCTGCTGGCGGGGCCTGGAATAAGAGCACAGGAGAGGAGATCAGTGATGTCACCGTCCAGAAAGATGCCGATTCTGCCTCTGAAAAATCAGTAGACGCTGAGAAGACTGAAGAGGAAGAATCTATCGTGACGGAAGAACTAATTGTAGTGGCTTCCTATACGCTGGGACAATGTAGGCAGTCAGAAAAAGAAAAAGTAACTGAGCAGAAAGCCATTTCCAAACGATTTAAATTTGAGGAGCCATTACTGCAAGAAATACCCGGAGAATTCATTTACTGAACTGTGTGGAGCTTCATAGCTATAACTGGAAGGCAGTGTTTTCTACTAAACAAAAATATCCTAGCCAAGTGAATTTCTGATATGCAATAAATGTTCTAGATAAAATGTTGTTAAATGACATCCAAGGAAAATGTGCCAAGCTTTTAATTTCATGGAACGGATAAACAAAATTTCAAGTGACTGACAGGAATTTAGCAAAGCTAAAAAGAGCTTATTTTTGTTTGTAATTTTCATTTCTGTGTTTTTGTTGCTTGATAACAGTTTTGGTAGTTGTTCCAGTGTTCTGGGGAAGCTGACACTGGAAGCGTTTCAGTGACAGATGTCAAGAGGAGTATCTTAGGATATGTTTTGGCACTTAATGTGGAAATATAATGCTGGGCTTTCCTTGAACACCTTTTAGCACTCCAGACTTCAGTAGAACTGTCTATCTACTGATCTAAAAATTGTGTAAGAGGAGAATTTGATCAACTGGTTTGACATATGGATTTCAGAGTTAGACTGTGTATGTATTTCTTTGTCCACATCAAGTCAAAGACCCAGACTCCTCTGGCGCACAGCCCAACAGTGACCTGGGCTTCTCTATGTAGAGATGCACATGTCGCATGGATTAAATAATCTGTAGCGGGGAATGATTCCAGATCACAGTGGTGATGATAACCCTTTGTTTTGGGAGCACAGTAAAATCCTGCTCTGGACAGTCAGGAATTTGTTTACAAGTGAGTCACTCTTAGGAGCAGCAGAGATCGTTCTCTTCCCCTTCTGTGTTGGGCACGATGCGCTAATGGAATCCAGCTCAGTGTGACTGCAGAGTGTTGATGAGTGGAAAAAAGGGTGACAGAGGGTCTGATGTAGCTCTGCGGAAGTTACTGAAGTTCTCTCCGCTGCCTTCATGTTAGATCAGACAGTTTGTCCAACTAATGATAAATCAGCCTTTGATTCCGCCTCCCTCAGGGCCTGGCTGGGGTTTTACTGGGAGCATGAGGTCATTTCTGCCGCCTTTTTTCTCTTCCTCTAACTGCTGCTTTAAGGAAGAAAGAAGCATCCTTAGGCTAAGTTGCATAACCTTGTTCAATATAGCTATAACCAGATGGGGAAGAAGATCCCACTTCCTTCGAAACAATGAAGCATAGCTCATACCTTGTGCTTCCCGATCACTCTCCCTCAGACCCTTGGAGAAACACTGTGTGTGGGATGGGGAAAAGTGGGGTTTGGGAGGTGTCTGGATGGGTCGTAGTTCTGAATGGACACAGTCCCTCAGAGGACAAAGCTGGGACCAACTGGGCATCAAAATGGACTGGGTTTTGCAATGTGCGGGTCTAAGGATCTCGGACTGAGTCCTAGTTTTCTAAGGAATCTTTCATACCGATGCTGTTCCAAAGTTTAATTTTTGTGTAAGTGAAGTTTAGTACTATTGTATTGCATACTGTTAACTATTCAACTATTTATTTGGTTTCCTTATGCTGTTCCTTTATAATAAACCCTGACAAAAGTTTTCTTGCTATAAAACAATGCATAGAAACACTTAAGCTAGATTTTTTCTGGTTTTCCATGTTTCCATACAGACTCTCCTAATTTCAAATGTACCGAGAATGTTCCTACTCTTTTTAGTGTGCAGGAGTTTAGTGCTCTGTGCTAATATTACAGTTCCTCCTTCACACAAAAAGCAAATGGCTTATTAGTAAAACAAGCGGTCCTTGGATGATCTGATTAGCATTGCTGTGAGGATGGGAGAAAAAGCACTAGTAAAGAATAAAACTGAGCCAAAAGCTGTGTGATGCTGAGTGGGCCAATGAGCATTTTCCCATAAGGCTTTATTGCCAGTGGGCTGGTTGCCTTCACTTGAAGCCACATCAGAAAAATTGCACCTAAATTAAACAATCTTATCGGGCTTCTTCCCCTATGGAATTATTTAATAATTGTGTAGGTAGGGCAGCTTCTCGCTCCTTGAACACCTTTCATGTAAGAAAACACCCACTAGTACTCGTAACTGAGTTTGGATGTCATTTGTGTTGTGATGCAGAGATGCCTCATACTCTGGAGAAATGAGTCGTTTGCTGGTTTTTCCCTCCTGCAGTCAGTAGCCTACAGACTTCTGCAGAGAAGATACCGAGCAAGATTTTTTGGGTAGCTGTGGCGGGCCCTTAGCTGAGGTTGCACAGGAACCTTTGAGCCAAGAGCTCAGTTGTGTGGGCTTTTCTGGAGGGGGCCGGTAGCTGCGTTACTGCACCTTTGCTGACCCCACCTACCCACAATGCTGGTCTCTTTCAGACTCTGTCAGGTGTGCCAGCACTCTGCGTGGGCATCTGGCTTTTACTGGTCAGTCATTTGCCCAAGACAGTTTGCTTGGGTGAGGGAGTATTAACTTAGGAAATTCTTTTGTACAAGATAACAGTTTTTCCCAGCTTCTGCCACTGCCATTTTGACTTCTTTTCACATCCACGTGGTCTTGCTTTTACAAAGTTGAGCAAAGCACTGGAGGTTGCTCACTTCCTACCCTTACAAAACAGTGTTGCCCTATCTGCCTACTTAAACCTGTAGTAGGTTGTAGCAAATCGTTTGAGGGATGTATACCTATTTCAATGCCTATTTGTAACCACAGACAATGTCTCAGGTGGACAACTGGTACTAATGAAAAAATAGATGCTGAGCAGCATACATTTTGTCCTGTATTTACTGGTTTTAATATATGACAATGAAGCTTAACATGTGTAAATGAACTATGTACTTACTACAAGGCCAGCTTCTCTTGAATTGGCTGCTTTGAGATTTCTGGTGTGCTGCATTTCTGTTGAACTTTTTGTGCCTTAAGGTGGTTTTGTACAGTGTTTTTAACATCATTAAGAATTTGTATAAAGTCATGAAAGTGTAAGTTATGAAAAATGCATCTCTAGGTTGGCCCTATAATAGGAAAAAAAATCTGTAACGTTTAACTGCAGGACTATCAGCCAGTCCCACACACTTGAAGCTATTTCTGTTCCACTGTAAGTGTGGGTAAAGCTGTAAATGAGGTATTTTTACCCGACGCTGTAGAAAGGGACTATTGAGGTTAATTTTTTGAGAGGCTGTTGTTACTAGCGAAGTAACACATTGCGACTGGGGAAAAAAATCACTAGCTTGTGAGAAAGAGCAGGTTTTCTGCAGCTCCATGACTACGGAAGGCTGCGTGTACATACACAGCTCGTATGAAAAAAGCTGCTTATGCCTTAACGTTTGTGGGGAAGGGGCAGCTGCAGAGAGGGATTTGAGTCCTTGGACCTTAGGTGCCTGCTTGCCAGACTGGGCACTCACTGGCTGCCTTCGTAGCGCTGACAGCACAGCTGCTATTTGCTTGAGTGCAGGAAGCTGAAAGGGATGGAGGTGCAGCTCTTCATACAAATTGCTGGAGAATTGGGGTTTTTTCTATGCTTCTGGTGCAAGAGACATGAACTGTATCATAGGTAGGGTAGGTCCAACATTGCAGTTGTTGGAATAAACAGCAAACATCAAGCTGAAAGCAAAGCCTTGTCTCCTTGCTACATTCACCTCTTTAAGCAAGAGGCCATAGATTTTTACAGTCATTAAACTAAAAGTTCTATAAAACATCCTTGTGGTTTTGGTTTTTATGGGTTTGTTGTTTGGGTTTGGTTTTTTTGTCCAAAGCTGAATTTGCATTTTTTGTCTCAATTTCGTACACCTTTTATTTGAGGGTCCCTGAGTACAAAAGGGTGAATTCCAGCTTTCAATCCACCAGGTAAAGCTGAAGAGCTGTTAGGTAAGAAATGCAAATAATAATTAAAGGCCGATTCTCCACTGGTGGTGCTGGCAGGGGTCAAGAAGGAAGATGAGCCTCGCACCAAGTTATTCTGTGGCTTCAGAGTTCTGCTGAGCATTCCAGGTGCTGTTCCTGGAAAATAGTTCAACATTTTAAAGAAATAATGCCAGTTCATTGTACTTCTGCTAAGGTGTTTACTGTTTCAGGAACTTTACAATAAATGAAATTTTGTTTTCTGAACAGCTGATGGGTCTTCTGTTCTTCACATATTGGGGAAACACTTTAAAACATGTAAAAAGAAAAACCAAAAATGAGAGAAGCCATAATCTTTCTTCAAGACAGCATTACTAATTTGAAACAGAATTCCAAAAGTGATGCTAGTTTGGTGCAGGATGAAGGACTGCAATCACTAGTAAAGCCACACTACAGTGCTGCATCGCAAACTGCTGCAACTTACATGCTTCTGTGGTTGGAGACCATGCGCCTTTGTGCTTGGCTTTGAATGCTAGTTAGGAATACAGTGCTGGAACTGGGTTGTAGTATGTTAGAGGCAGTCTCCTGGTCAAATGTCCTTGCTTTTCTCTGAGGGCCTCTGTAAAATTATTATTCTCAACAGCCATATAGCAGGATTACTGATATTTTAGTTTTCTGAATCACACATTTGCACAGCAAATGTGAAATGCACCAATAATCTTTTTCACTATAAAACGATGTGCTTGCACTGTGGAGGTCTTCACAATACAGCATTTACAGATCTTAAGCTGTCATTTGGATTAATATAGTGGCATCTTCCATGTAAATATTTCTGGGGGTCTTGGTCTGTACTAAACCTAGAAACATACTGCCACAACTCAGGATTCTTATTTCTGATGTCAGACAGGTGGGAAACAACCTGCCTGAAGAAATGGGGTTGGAAGGGTGGTCTTTAAAGGCCAGGGAGTGGTGTCAGACAGCCGTGTACCCAGGACAGGGTGGAGCATAAATCTGAGTTTAAAATGCTGAAACATGTGCTCTGAAGCAGTGAAACTTCAGTGTTCCCTCCAAGGTGTGCTGTGTCCTGAACTCTTGTTACCTGCCTGATGGGATTCCTGTGGGGAAAGTGAGAGCTTTGACTAGATGCTGGGAGAGAAAACTGTCTCCTCTCCTCTGCAAAGGCATTTCCTCTTCTAGTGCTGCTTAATTTCACTAATTGTCCCTGTTATAAGACAACTGTATATCTCTGTAAAACTAAAATATTGTCATTCCACAAAAACACAACCTGGAAGCTTTATAAAATGGAAAAAAAAAAAGAAAAAGAAATTCAGTTCATATGGGTGTGATAAAAATATCCCTTAATTAAGAAAAGGTTAGAATTTGTCAAAGTGAAGCAGAGTGTTAGGGCCACAACAGTTACTGGAAAATTAGGGGGAAAGGAAACTTAACTGCTTGAAGGGATTGTCTTTTTCTCCTCTAAGCACAGAGAACTTAACTGTGTCTTTGCTTGCTCCTGTAGGCAGAATCACAGCTAAGCTGGTGATGCATTGAAATCAGTGTACCCCATCTCACTGATTAATTTGCACAGACTGGATTACACACAGGTGCTTT